CCTCTGCTCCTGTCCTTACTCACCCTGATCCCTCCAGGCAATTTATTGTTGAGGTTGATGCCTCTGACTCAGGGGTGGGAGCAGTCCTGTCCCAGCGTTCTCCAAGAGATCAGAAGATTCATCCTTGTGCCTTCTTCTCTCGCCATCTCTCTCCTGCAGAGGTAAACTATGACATTGGAAATAGAGAGCTTTTGGCTGTGGTTTTGGCTTTGCAGGAGTGGAGGCACTGGCTGGAAGGTGCAGAACATCCCTTCATTGTTTGGACCGACCACAAAAACCTGTCATACCTTTGTTCAGCCAAGAGACTCAACTCTCGACAGGCTAGATGGGCTCTGTTTCTGGGAAGGTTTAACTTCATCCTTACCTACCACCCTGGTTCCCGGAATATAAAACCTGATGCCTTGTCTCGTCAGTTCTCCCCGGATGTCCCTGAGTCTCTGCCTGCTCCCATCCTGCCTTCTACGTGCGTGATTCATGATTCAGAAAACTTATCTGAGGTTCCACCATCCACTCACCTGGTTGCATCTGTTCAGTGGGAGATCGAACGAGTGGTCCGTGAGGCTCAACGAACCCAACCTGCCCCAGGTAACTGCCCACCAAACTCTCTATTTGTGCCCGAGTCAGTTCGGCCTCAGGTCCTCCAGTGGGGGCATAGTTCCAAACTTACGTGTCACCCTGGCTTTCACCGGACCTTAGCTTTCCTTAAGCAGAAATTCTAGTGGCCAACTACGATCAAGGACACGCAGTCTTTTATTGCCGCCTGTACCAGCTGTGCCCGAAGCAAGTCTAGCCATCAAGCGCCCTTTGGTCTTCTTAACCCTTTACCTATTCACAGCAGACCATGGTCCCACATTGCTGTAGACTTTGTCACTGGGCTACCAAATTCCAACGGTAACTCTGTCATACTCACTATTGTGGATCATTTCTCCAAGGCTGTGCATTTTGTACCCCTTCCCAAGTTGCCAACTTCCACTGAAACCGCTAACCTTCTGGTACTTCATGTGTACAGACTTCATGGCATCTCGGTTGACATTGTTTCAGACAGAGGCCCACAATTTACATCCCAAGTATGGAGGGCGTTTTGTCAAGCTTTGGGAACTTCCATCAGTCTCTCGTCTGGGTACCACCCACAATTCAATGGTCAAACAGAACGTGCTAATCAGGACCTGGAAACAGCCCTGCGCTGTGTCACCATCCGTAACCCAGCCACATGGAGCACATATCTGCCTTGGATTGAATACGCCCACAACTCCTTAGTATCCTCCGCAACAGGTATGACCCCATTCATGGCTTCCTTGGGTTTTCAACCTCCTCGTTTCCCAGAGCAAGAGGAGGATGTGGCTGTCCCGTCAGTCCAGGCCCATTTCAGTCGCTGTAGACTTGTGTGGAGGGCTGCTCGAGCTGCACTACAACGCACAGCAACACGCAATCAGAGATTTGCTGATAGACATCAGAAGAATCTCCTCTTTACCAGCCTGGACAGAAGGTTTGGCTGTCCCTCTGAAAGTAGAGTCCTCCCTCTGAAAGTAGAGTCTAAAAAACTGGCACCTAAGTTCATTGGTCCATATGTCATTGAAAGAATGATAAATCCTGCTGTAGAGCGCCTCAAGTTGCCTTCCTCCCTCAATATTCATCCTTCATTTCACGTGTCTCTCCTCAAGCCAGTGTCATCCTGTCCTCTCAGCCCTCCAGCCGATCCCTCTCCTCCCACCCGAGTCATTGATGGTTACCCGGCCTTCACTGTGAGACGGATTCTGGATGTTCGGCGCCGTGGGAGGGGTTTTCAATGTCTGGTCGACTGGGAAGGATACGGTCCGAAGGAACACTCCTGGATTCCCCGCTGCAACATCCTGGACAAGTCCCTCCTCCGGGACTTCTACAGGGCTTTGTGTGTGTGTGTGTGGGCGGAGTCTCCTGGACCTGATTCGCCTCACCTGCAAGCAATCAAGAGCCAACTACTTGAGACCTGCTCACCTGTGAGACTTTGCCAGATTGTTTGCTACCTACACACGGTGAACCTCTTGGCTCCTCATTCTGAGTTTTTTGCTTCTGCCTTTTTGCCTCGAACATTTTACTTACCTGCGCTCTCTGCTCTCCAGTGATCCTGCCGTCTCCAGCCCTGCTCCAAGCCCTGCTCCAAGCCCTGCCCTGCCCTGCTCCTGCCCTGCTCCAGCTCTCATTCGACCAATTGTAAAATAAATTCTCCTTTTTCATTTTTATGAACTGGTCTTCAGTCCATTTTTTGAGCCGAAAGGCAAAGCTCTCGATTTACCGGTCAATCTATGTTCCTACCCTCACCTATGATCATGAGTTTTGGGTAATGACCAAAAAGACGAGATCACTGATACAAGCGACTGCAATGAGTTTCTTCCACAGGGTGGCTGGGTGCTCCGTTACAGATAGGGTGAAGAGCTCAGTCACACAGGAGGAGCTCGGAGTAGAGCTGCTGCTCCTTCAAATCAAGAGGAGCCAGCTGAGGTAGCTCGGGCATCTGTTCCATCCTTGGGAGGTGTTCTGGGCATGTCCCACTGGAAGGAGGCCCGAAGAAGACCCAGGACACGCTGGAGGGACTATGTCCCTCGGCTGGCCTGGGAATGCCTCGAAGTCCCCTCAAAGGAGCTTAAGGAAGAGTCCGGGGTGAAGGAAGTCTGGGAGTCCTTGTTTAGACTGCTGCCCCCATGACCCGGCCCCGGGTAAGTGGAAGAAAATGGATGGATGAACTTCATGCAGGCTGCAGTTGAGCCTCAGTCTGTCCCAGTCCCAGTGCTCTCCATCTGAGCCATTGTCACAACCCTGCGCCTGGTCACCGTGCTGGTCTCATCACCCAGAGTTCTCTCAGCATCTTCTTAAAGTGGAAGTTATAACATTTTTAAACAAAAGATTCATGGATGAGGCCCAATGTTATATTTTTGTTAAGGCAGAAGTAGTGGACCTTAGTCATAGTATAATGGTGGTTTGAGACTGGAAGAAGTTTGAGACTTTACTGTGTTTAGGATGCGTATGCTTCTTCTGCCACAAAGTGAGCAAATGCTTTATTCACTTACTGGTACTCGTTAGTTTCCCTCTTTAGATATCGCAAGCAGGTGCCATTTTTGAACTGCTTTTGTCTTGTTCAAATGGAACCAAATGCTGTTTGTAATGACAACCAGGGATACCCTAATCCATTTTTTCAGTTCTGATACCAATACTATGACTGCAGTTAACTGATATTAGCTCTCTCTGCTGCAAGCAGAGGCTGCTGTATTAGGTTTTGGACTTGGTTTGATCTCTTCTTATTGGACAATAATGCACTTTTGGAGACAGAGCCAACAGGACATCAGATAGAGGATTCACTCTGCTTCAGTCCCCTGGAGAAGGTAAGAATCTGAGAATGGAGGTGAATAATAAGGTAAATAGTGTTATAGAGTTAAGAGTTTTAAATACTGCGCAAATGAGGTGTAGGAGTGCTGCTGATGCCGTGTGTTCATGTTGTGACCGTAGCCTCTTATTGTAGTTTTGCTAACGTTGTTGGGGATGTTTGTGAGCAGTGTGTTATGTTGCACTTGGCTAGTTAGGTGTGCTCTGATAGATATAGTTCAGCCAATAGTGACCAAAATGACTGTCTGTTTCTTGCATTCATTATAATACTATATTTATAATATATAGGCCGAGGTAACCCTGGGGGGGTTCAAAATTCAAATAAAAAATTATACCACCAGCAGCCACTGCACTGGAAACAGCATGTATTTCCTTGAAATAAAATAAATTAAGAAAACTCTTCCAAATGCATTATAGAGCTGTGATTTACGTAAGCAAAAACTTTGTTTAAGACCTTTTGTGGCGACTACAACCAGTAAATAGTCTTAGTGCATCAATTTAGATATCCAGCTAGGACACTGACTGGACCAATATTTGGAAGCCATTATCCATTCCTGCTAATTTTTCCTCATCAGTGCCTTTATCTGATACCAGTATCAGATCAGTACAGCCCTACTGACAACATCATAGTCTTCTCTTCCAATGAAAACCACCCTTTGGTGAAGCTGGATGGGGTGATGAGTAAACTACACACCATAGGTTTTAGAGACTGTATTATAATGGACAAGGACCTCTAAGATCCTGCTGAACTTTTATCTCTGCACAATCGAAAGCCTTCTGGATTGCTCTAACACTGTGTGGTTTGGCAACATTACAGCCAGAGAGAGGAAAGCTTTAGACAGGGTGGTCCACTCAGTCATAAAAAATGTGACCTGCCTGACCTTGACGCTCTATACAAATGTAAACTTTTAAACCAAGTCCTTCAGATCATACACGACCTCCCTGCCGTCCTGGCAGAAACATGTTCGAGTTCCTTCCCTCTGGAATAAGATCACTCCATTAAATGCAAGACTTCTCAATGCTTTTTCCCACAAGCTGTTATAAACTTGAACAATGAACTTTCATGTAACATCTTCATATTTTGGCTACTTAATCTCTGTAGCTTGTTTTTTTTCAGTGTCAATGTATTCCTTGTATTGACTATTGTTTGTCTGTCTGGTTGTGTTTTTTCAATACAGGGCCAATCCAAGTAATGTATTCTGAATATGTAAAATACTTTATGGGTTAGTATATCACATTTTTTACATGGTAACATGATGTATTAAAACTGCTTTGTTTCATGTTTTGTTGAACATTTATTTATAACAGAACAGAGGGAAATTATGCTTAAAAATAACTTGCCTTTATTTTCATACTTCTTTCACACACAGCTAATAGCTTAAAAACATAGGACATGAGACATCAACAGAAAAGTTTGATAGAAATTGGGCCTGTTTATAGTTTTTCCTTCAGTAAAGTTGAAGACTAGTCAGCATTCATTTAATACATTGCTATATCAAGATCTTAATTTTTTTGACATAAGAATGAAACAGTTGCAAACAAATATTCCTGACCTCACCAGATTTAACTGTGTTAGATGCACTTGCCACAACTGATTCAGATTTAGAAGGCCTAATCTCAACATCCTTCACAGACATTACTGCTTATCTCCTACGGGTTGACAGTTGATTAGTGTCACTGCAGGAGAGATGCTTCTTCAGATATTCTCTAAACATTACATCTCGCAGCCCATAAACCATGGGGCTCAGAAACCTAGGGACGATTTGCAATAATATGTACCACACAAACATAAAGTGGATATATATTCTTGGGAACATAATTAAAACAATATTTTGGACAGATGGATACACATATGTTGACATGCACAGAAGGAGCTGAAAACTATGTAACAAAATGGTATTCCTGGCCTTTTTGGCATCACTATTTGTTGTTTTTGCTGATCTGGCAACTAAAAATATCTGAATGTAAGTATAAATCAGAACAAGCCAAACACCAACAAAATACACTGCAAATATGACTTCTCTCTTTTTTATCATTATGGGATTCTGAAACAAATGTGTTGCCTCACATAAAACAGTGGAGAAGAATAGAGCAGGCTCAGTTACAGCAAGAAAAAATATGTCTGGTAAAAATGACAATATGCTCAAGGTCCACACACATGTGATCACTATGTAAATCTTTTTGATGCTGCACAACTGGGGGTGCTGAAGGGGGAAACATATGGCAAAATAGCACTCCACCGCCATCGCTGCTAAATTCAGAGGAGAGTTGAGTGTTGTGAAAACAGCAAATGCAAGAATAAAGCAACATAGAAATGTGTTGATGGTGTAGAAAACATAAAAGCACACAAAGAGAGTGATGGCAGTGGTGAGCTGGATCATGTCATTCACCACCAGATGGATGAAGAGGATGTAGCGAGGGTTGTGGTAAAAGACCTAAGACAAGCACAATACAGTTCAAAGTTAAATAAAATAATATACACTACTGGTCAAAAGTTTTAGAATGACAAACTTTTTCTGTTTTTTTATTGTTTACTGTTGACCAAAACGTGTTCTAGACTTTTGATTCATGAAAGTGCCCACCCTTGGCTCGTTCTTTTTACAATAGAAATCAAATATTCTTCAGAAAGTTTTTCCAAAGTCTCTTGCAGAGGTTCCCATAAATGTGTGACACTTGTAGGTTGCTTGGCTTTGACTCTTCTGTCCAGTTTATCCCAAAACCAGCTCGATGGGGTTTAAGTGTGGAGACTAGCCACTCCATCTTTTCAATCTCACCATCTTGTTCTTTTTTCCTCAGGTATTTTTGGCAGAGCTTGGACTTGTGTTTTGTTATCTTTTATCTTATCTTTTATTTATTTATTTTTTTTAACATCTGGCTGTTCAGTATTTACCTTTGTACCATTTCAAGCTCTTCATTAGACTGGCACGACTTGAATTGCAATAAATAACTGGAAAAATTAGGGTGTTCTAAAACTTTTGACCGGTAGTGTATATAAAAAGTAGATCAGATAACAACTAAAAATACATGAAAACTGACCTTTAAAAAAAAAAAAAAAAAAAAAAAAAAAACTCCTATAAAACAAAACTATAAATTGCTCTTGTAGTTGGAACTGCCTAAATCAGTATAAATATTCACATCAAAAAGTAATGTAAATATAATTTTTATATATCATTACTTTACATAGATTCTATATTACAGTCTCTATTGTAAAAAATATTACCTATCCTAGAGCATAACATATGTGAATCCATAAGTGCAAAATAGAGAATTAATTTATTGATTACATTTGCAATACATAATAGATGGATAAATATGTCAACATTACTGACCTGGTGTTTACTGAAGGTGTAAATGAGCGTCCCGTTTAAGTAATTAATAGATACTCCAAGCAGAACAACTGTTAAATTTTTGGCTATAGCCATGGTGAAAGAGTCTGGATAGCGGCCATAAGATGACCCATTTTGACCAGACGATGAATTCATGGAAGCGCTACTCTAAAAAAGAATGTACATGAATGTAAAGATATAAGCAAAACTGAATAAGAGTGTTGCTGACTGTCTATAGACACACCTCGAATGTGGCTCACCCTCCCCAAATGAAGATCAGAGGTACACTGAGCTTTATAAATTCTCACAGAGAGATCAAGGATGACGTAATTTGGAAACCAACACACTGGAAACACCAAAAGCCTCATATATCTACTTACCCTACTTGCTTAAATTAAAAAAATTGTTCAGGCAGAAGTAGTGGAGGGGATCAGACAGATTTTAGTGTCCATCCAAGCTCAAGCTCATTGCCCTGTGTGAAACCCTTATTGACCCCTTATTGCACTTTGACTGTTTGCCACATACTGTATGTTTAAGCTCTTAAATTCAATCAAAGAGTTAACAATGTTGGACTATTAATAGAAAATAAAGCCGCTCGTGGCAATGATGGCCCTCGCCCTGGCGCGCACTCCCCTCCCATGCGACCGCCAGGGACTCGCGACTGCCCCGGCATGCCATTCTCTCTTCCCGACATCTGCCCAGACCAAAAGCTGGTCCATTAGACACATGACATAAGGCACCTTTAAATATTTTTTTGGGAGTCATTGCGCCTCTACTGGCCAAACGGGAAAAATGCCCAATATCCGTAATATATTGTTTTGCTCATAGTCATGCATAGAATTTAATCCCTGAATTTGGTACAAGTCCGATAATGTTGACATGTCATGTCTATGCTAGTGTTCACTTTTCATATACTTTATCGTGTATTATAATCAGATCCTCCAAGCCGGTCTTACTACACATGCATGCTGAATATTTAAAGGGTGACTTTGTTACTTTTTGAAAACATTAATATTAAAAATTCTAAGGGAAAATTCAATAGGATTTAAAATTTTAAATCTGATGAAGCAAATAATCTTCCATATTTCTGTGCCAGCCTGTGCAAGTGTTTTTCCATCCATCCATTTTCTTCTGCTTATCCAGGGCCAGGTCGCGGGGGCAGCAATCCAAGCAGGGACTCTCAGATTTCCTACACCCCAGACACTTCCTCCAGCTCCTCCGGGGGGACCCCGAGGTGTCCCCTTGCTAGCCCAGAGACATAGTCCTTCTAGAATGTCCTGGGTCTTCTCTGAGGCCTCCTCCCAGTGGGAAATGCCGAAAACACCTCCCAAGGAAGCATCCAGAACAGATACCCGAGCCACCTCAGCTGGCTCCTCTCATCGTGAAGGAGCAGCAGCTCTATTCCGTGATCGTCCCATGTGAGTGAGCTCCTCACACTATCTTTAAGGAAGCGCCCAGCCACCTTGTGGAGGAAACTCATTTCGGCCGCTTGTATCCACGATCTTGTCCTTTCGGACATTACCCAAAGCTCATGACTGTTGGTGAGGGTAGGATTGTAGATTGACTGGTAAATCGAGAGCTTCACCTTTCGGCGAAGAGCAGAGCACCCCCCACAGGACACCATGAGAGCCACGGTCGAGTGCCTTCTCCAGGTCCACAAAGCACATGTGGGTTGGACAAACTCCCATGAACCCTCGAGCACCCGATGGAGGGTGTAGAGCTGGTACACTGTTCCATGGCCAGGACAAAAAACACACTGCTCCACCTGAATCCGAGGTTCGACTATCGAGGATTCTCCTCTCCAGTACCCTGGCAGAGACCTTACTGGGGATGCTGAGGAGTGTGAATCCCCTCTAGTTGGAACACACCCTCCAGTCCCTGGAGAGGAAAGGGACCATCACCCCGGTCTGCCAATCCAGAGGTACTGTCCCCAACTTCCACGTGATGTTGCAGAGACATGATGTGATGTTGTCAGCCAAGACAGCCCCACAACATCCAGAGACTTAAGATACTCAGGATGGACCTCATCCACCCCCGGAGTGTTGCCATCAAGGAGCTTTCCAACCACCTCAGTGACTTCAGCCAGGGTGATGGACGAGTCCACCTCCCGGTCCCCAGGTTTGGTTTCCTCCTTGGAAGATGTGATGGTGGGATTGAGGAGATCCTCAAAGTATTCCTTCCACTGCCCAACAACATCCCCAGTCGAGGTCAACAGCTCTCCCCTCGCACTGTAAACAGTGTTGGTGAAGAACTGCTTCACCCTCCTGAGGCGCCGGACGGTTTGCCAGAATCTCTTTGAGGTCATCTGATCAGTCCTCTTCCATGACCTCCCCAAACTCCTCCCAGCTCCGATTGCCTCTACAATCGCACGGGTTGCAGCACATTTTGCCCGCCAGTACCCTCAGAAGTCCCACGAGCCAACATGGCCCGGTAGGACTCCTTCTTCAGCCTGACGGCATCCCTGACAGTGTCCACAACACGGTTTGGGAACTGCGAGAGGCACCACAGATATTACGCCCACAGCTATGAGCAGCCATATTGAAAATAAAGGCCGAGAACAAAGCCCACTCGGACTCCATGTCCACAGCCTCCCCTGGAATCTGGGAGAAGCCCTCCCAGAGATGCGAGCTGAAAGTTCCCAACAGACCCTCACTATACCCTTAGGCCTGCCAGGTCTTCCCGGCTTCCTCCTCTGCCAGCAGACCCAACTCACAACCAGGTGGTGATCAGTTGACAGGTGTGCCCCTCTCTTCTTTCGAGTGTCCAAGACATGTGCCCAGATGCCAGATGACAAGACGACAAAGTCGATCACCAACCTCCGGCCTTGGGTGTCCTGGTACCACGTGCACTGATGAACATCCTTGTGCTTGAACACGGTGTTTGATATGGACAAACTGTGACTAGCACAGAAGTCCAGTAACAGAACACCGCTCAGGTTCAGATCAGGGAGGCCGTTCAACCCAATCACCCCTCTCCAGTTGTCACTGTCATTGCCCACGTGGGCACTGAAGTCCCCCAGTAGAACAATGGAGTCCCCGGTGAGTGCACTGTCTAGTGCCCCTCCCAGGGACTCCAAGAAGTCCGGGTACTCTGCACTGCTGTTGGGCCCGTAGACTGACACTACAGTGAGACACCTGTCCCCGACTCGAAGGCGCAGGGTCGCGACTCTCTCGTTCACTGAGGTGAACTCCAACACACAGCGGTTGAGCTGTGGGGCAATGAGCAGGCTCCTTCCTTCCCAGTGAGGTGACATTACATGTCCCCAGAGCTAGTCTCCATGTCGTCGAGGCCCCTGCCATCAACCGCCGCCCAGATCTCTCTGCACCGACCCCCTATGGATCCTCCTGCAGGTGGTGGGTCCACGGGGGAATGGCACCACGTCGCTCTTTCGGGCCTTGCCCGATCGGGCCCTGTGGGCAAAGGCCCGACCACCAGGTGCTCGCTGGTGAGCATACACCCCAGGCCTGGTTCCAGGGTGGGGCCCCCATAACGCCAATCTGGGCGACATCACTGGCCTGTGTGTGTCCTTCATCATATGGGGCTTCTGAACCGCTTTTGGTCTGACCCGCCCCCCAGGACCTGTTTGCCTTGGGCCTTGGGAAGCCCCCGACAACATAGCACCCGGGATCATTATGTTACTCAAACCCTTCCACCGTGTTAAGGTGGCAGTTCAGGGAGGGGCTGAGTGTTTTTCATTTTTATAAAATCAGCTTTCCATGCAGAGTTTGTAAATCAACACAACATAGCACTTTGATTTTTTGCAAGGTAGACATGCACAGTGCAGTAACAATTGCAATCTTTCTGATTGTTTTGACTGTCAGTTGCATCGTATTGACTGGTACAGACTCAGCTTATGTCCGCTGGCCACCATGATACCTAGTTTTGGAAAGAATACTTTGCAATTGTGTATAATACAGACTACCTTTTTTGTACTTAGTAACCTATTACAATTCCAGGGCCTATCAGATTAATGTATTTTGCACACTTAAAATTGTCATATTGAGTTACTATATCACTTTTTTACACTATAATATAATGTATTAAAACAGCTTTGTTTGTTTGCTTTTGTTGAACATTTATTTGGAACAAGTCAGGGAAAAAAATGCTTTGATGGAAACTGGAAGACTAGTCAGCATTCATTTAATATATTGCTATATCAAAATATTTGACAGTTTTTGTGAGATAAAAATGAAAAGGTTGCAAACAAAGTTTGTTCCAGATCTCACCTGACTTAAACATGTTAGATGCACTAGCCACAACTGATTCAGAATGAGAAGGCCTAATCTCACCATCCTCCACAGACATTGTTGCTTATCTTCTATGGACTGACACTTTTTTAGTAGCACTGCAGGAGAGATGCTTCTTCAGATGTTCTCTAAACATTACATCTCGCAGCCCATAAACCATGGGGCTCAGAAACCTGGGGAGGATTTGCAGTAATATGTACCACACAAACATGAAGTGGATATATATTCTTGGGATCATAATTAAAACAAGTTTTTGGACAGGGGAATAAACATACGTTGACATGCACAGAAGGAGCTGAAAACTATGTAACAAAATAGTATTCCTGGCCTTTTTGGCATCACTGTTTGTTGTTTTTGCTGATCTGGCAACTAAAAATATCTGGACATAAGTGTAAATCAGAACAAGCCAAACACCAACAAGATACATTGCAAATATGACTTCTCTCTTTTTTATCATTATGGGATTCTGAAACAAATGTGTTGCCTCACATAAAACAGTGGAGAAGAATAGAGCAGGCTCAGTTGCTGCAAGGTAAAATATGTCTGGTAAAAATGACAATATGCTCAAAGTCCACACACATGTGATCACTATGTAAATCTTTTTAATGTTGCATAACTGAAGGTGCTGAAGGGGGAAGCATATGGCAACATAGCACTCCACCGCCATTGCTGCTAAATTCAGAGGAGAGTTGAGTGTTGTGAAAACAGCAAATGCAAGAATAAAGCAACATAGAAATGTGTTGATGGTGTAGAAAACATAAGAGCACACAAAGAGAGTGATGGCAGTGGTGAGCTGGATCATGTCATTCACCACCAGATGGATGAAGAGGATGTAGCGAGGGTTGTGGTAAAAGACCTAAGACAAGCACAATACAGTTCAAAGTTAAATAAAATAATATACAAACACATAAATTAGAAAAAGTAACAACTAAAAAATACATGAAAATTGTGCTTTAAAATAATTTAAAAAAAAACAACTCATCCTATAAATTACTCTAATATTTAGAACTACCTAAATCAATAATAATATCCAGATAAAAAAATCTATTTATATATAGTTACTGTACATGGATTCTGTATTACTGTCTCTGCTGTATAAATATTACATATCCTACAGCATAACATATGTGAATCCTTAACTGCAAAAAAGAGAATTAATTAATTTATTACATTTGCAATACATAATAGATGGATAAATATGTCAGCATTACTGACCTGGTGTTTACTGAAGGTGTAAATGAGGGTCCCGTTTAAGTAATTAATAGATATTCCAAGCAGTACAATTGTTACATTTTTGGCTATAGCTGTGCTGAATGAGTCTGCATAGCGGACATAAGATGACCCATTTTGACCAGACGATGAATTCATGGAAGCGCTATTTCAAAAAAGAATGTATGAAAGTAAAGATATAAGCAAAACTGAATAAGAGTGTTGTTGGCTGTCAGTAGACATACCTCTAATGTTTCTCACCCTCCCCAAATGAAGATCAGAGGTACATTGAGCTTTATATCAAGTTCTCATAGGGGGATTACTAAGAATGATGTAATTTGTAAACCAACACATTGGAAACAACAAAAGCCTCATGACTCAAAATATATCTACTTACCCTACTTGCTTAAATAAAAATATCTGTTACAGGGACAATGTTATGTTTTTGTTAAGGCAGAAGTATTGGAGGGGATCATGCATTTGTTTTTAGTGTCCATCCAAGCTCAAGCACATTGCCCTGTGTGAAACCCTTATTGACCACTAGTCATAGTATAATGGTGGTTCGAGACAGGAAGAAGTTTGAGATTTGCGTTTAGGATGCATCGCTTCTTACACGCATTGAGGAGTTGCCGTTTTCGGGCTACTGCATATATATGCCACAGTATCCCGGTTACTATCAGATTATCCCGGTTACTCATAACTGGGATACTGGCTTTTTTGAGATACTAAAACCAGAATACTGCATATACATGCACCATGACGAAATCGGGATATTCAAAAAACCCAATCATAACTGGGATACTGATGTGCACGTAAACACACCAAATAGACCACCCATAGACCTAAGTGAAAAGGAAATTTGGGCATGACTGAGGAGCAATATGCATCTTAATTCAATGGAATGAGGGACAGATGTGGTGCAGGGCTGCAGCCAGGCAGTGGCACTAAAATAAGAAATTACTGTATACATTTGGACATCAGCTGCATATGAGCTTTAAGAATTGGAATTTACCTGGAGTGGAGGGCAGAGTGGCCACCAAAAGAGGCCCAGGAGAGCGAGTGGGCAAAAAGAGGAGTAACTGAGAAGGAAGGGCTTAAATAGTTCACCAGGCCAGCGCCATGGAACAGCAGGTAAGAGAAACTGCAGCCTAGACCCTCTAAGCCGGTCTTATTACACATATATGCTGAATATTTAAAGGGTGACTTTTTTTAAACAGATGTATGTAATGTATGTATACTTAAACAATTCTAAGTGAGAAATTCAACAACATTTAAAATTTTAGATCTGATGAAACAAATTATCCATATTTCTGTGCCAGACTGTGCAAGTGTTTTTCTTTTTTTTCATCAGTTTTCCATGCAGTGTTTGTAAATGAACACAGCACTTTGACTTTTTGCAAGGTGGACATGAACAACGCAGTAAGAATAGCAATCTTCTTGATTGTTTTGACAGTCAGCTGCATCATGTCAACTGGTACAGATTCAGCTTAGGGCCGCTGGCCACGATAATGCTTTCTCTTCTGGCACTTGGCACCGGTGGATGCATTTTTCTCTCCTCTCCTGCCCCTTATCTTCCCTGATTTGCCTCTTTCTCTCATCTAGTCTAGTGTCTTATATTTTTGAGAGACTCTCTCTGCTCTGCTCTTCCAAACCTAAATTAACTTTGGATATGATCAGTTGGTCTCACATTGCAATTGATACCATTTTTTCAACAAGAAACGTGGGCTCAGGGGAGCCCGCTTGCCGTCCCGGGACATTTACAGCGGGCTACACGATGGACGGGTGGGAGAAGCCGTATGTCTGGCAGCTCTTTCCGTGTAGTATATAGAAGATATTTACCTAATTGGAACCATAACTGCAGGACATCTGCTGATTAGGTTGGACATTGTTGTGTACCACTGGAGTGGACCCCAAAAACAGACTCAGAACGAGGGCAAAAATGCAAAAAAGAAACAAAGGTTTATTGACGAGGCAGGATAGGCAGTGGAGGAGCGAGGAGCCAGGAGCTGGAATGCCGGAGTCTTCCACAGCGGGAACTAGGAAATACAAAAATGCAGGTAAGTAACAGAAAGCGACGTAGAAACAAAAACTGAGCCGACTGGTAGATCACCATCAGGTAGACGAAACAATCTGGCAGAGTCTGGCTGGAGAGCTGGGCCTTTGTAGCAGGCTTGATTGCAGATGGAGAGCAGGTGCTCCCAGCAGACTCCGCCCACATCCACACAAGGAAGACTCAGGTCACAGGCAGGGGCGTGACAGACATGGCCCTGATTTTTCTGAAAATTCGGATTATTGAAGCAGAATCCCCACTTGGCTGCCCACATTGATTGAAATGTGGGGCAAAGCTTCCAGTGCTCAGACTGTGACTATGAACCATGTTATGGAGGGATCTGCGGCTTCGTACCACATTTTGGATAACATCACGGAAAGGCTCGTGGCTATTGACCACAGGTTGGATGGAACTGTGGCTCTAAATTGCAATATTGATAACATCTTGGAGAAACTCGAAGCTGTGCAAAGAGGATGGGCAGACCTTGAGACCAATATGGACAAAGAGATTAGTTGTAAGAATTGAAATACAGCTGCTAGCCCCAAACCCACACAACCCCAGTCTTATCTTATTGGCCTCCCTCAGCCAGCACCGGCCTCGGTCAACTAGCCCAGAGATTACCGCAAGGAGACGCTCTCACATTCCTCTCCCCCACTTGAACCGACACCTGCAGATGTTGACTTTGTCTGGGATACCAGGCCATTAGTCTCACGTCTCATTCCACACCTTTGCAGCTTTGTACCCCAGCATGGCGGGAGGGTCTGTTGAATCCAGTGCCCACGTGGCTACAGGATTTGGATGGTTACTTGCCTATGCTGGGCTAACTCCACACTCCATACGTCCCTGGTTGCAAGTCTAGTTGTAATGTTTGTAATGTGTTTTGACTATGTGTTGATGTTGTGGAGGTGTTTTTGTGTGTGTGTACTCCTCCCATATTATGCCCCTACCGGAGCATGGTCTGTGGTCTAACCCCCCCAGCCCCCCGATGTCATAATGTATTGT